TTTGCTTGCGGTCGTTAGACGGAATTTAAATGGATGATATTTATGTGGATGGCGAAGCGCGGGAAAAATAATTATAGAGACTTCGGTAATTGTAAGAAACCCAATAATTTCGATCATCTGCGGTAGAAGCAGAGGTTTAATTGGGAATTCATGTTACAATCGGGCAAGACTTGTCCAAAGTAATTTTTGGACCAATTTGCAAATTAATTATCTCATTTTAGTACGAAATAAAACAACGGAGTTTGAATATATCAATGAATTTAATATAAAACGTGTGTGTTGCTCATAAAAATTATAGCATAGAAAAATTTTCAGTAAAAATTGGCCAGCTTTGACTGACAATAACTCCGCGAAAAACCATCATGAGTTGATAATCTTTTTTTTAAATTAAAGCTTGAAACATCTACTTTAAGATTGTGTTCCTAGATTTTACGTTTGATGTTCCGCCACCATCGTAACCCTATAAATATGAGGCCATGTTTGTCATATTGAAAATTGTCAAGTTTGACGAAATGCACGGAATTTGCAAAATTTTTTTCGAAAACGCTGTTTATAGTCGAATAAAGCTTGATCCTTCCCCTTTAATTTAAAAAAAAAGAAACGTGGTAGCGATTCTTTTTCGCGAAATTACGGCACTTTATAGTAACCCTTAACAATGAACTGTGGACATTCCAACACTCTTTTCAAATTTCGCGCACAATACATACACATTGTGCCGATTATTTTCGAATACATTTTTCTAAAATTCTCATCTTATTCTGTTCGACGTACTGTAAATACGAGCAGCTGTTCAATGCATTGACACGTAGAAAATTGCGAAAGTATATTTAAACGCGACGACATCGAACGCACGATCGTACTGTCATTTTCTATTTCGAGAAGTAACAATTTTCGAACTGTCTATTTTGATTTGAGGTACGATCTCGTGCCAGAGGGCATGTAAAATCTTATTTCATGGGAAATGGAAACCCCGCAAACAGTCTTCCAGACGACAGACATCTCTTTAATCATGGGAACCAAGAGGCCCGATCGATCAGTTCAACAGAATCGTTTATTTTCTAGCACGACGTAAAGAGTAATTAAGAAGTTCTGATCGTTTCAATTCAGTCAGAGACTTCTTCTCTGATTGATCAGCGCTTTAATTGTTCCCGGTACTCTTTGTTTCTTCATTGTTTCACCATTCTTCATTCTTCACCGTTCCAGTTTCCTCTCACATTGTTTCGTTGCGTTGTTTCTATGAGAGAATCAACAGTAACTAACAAGTTATCCAGCCTAGTAATTAAAATACTGCACTGCCGAATGCTCCATGAAACGTGATACCTGGTAATGCACGAAAGGAATTTTTAAAATTTTAAAGTGCATAGGTTGCTTCGAAAAATGCATGCATTAAATAACGATTTAATTTCTTTTTGTCGATGGAACAAACTGTA